TTCATGGAAATTGAAGAACTTCGATATCGGCCTGAACTTGAACGTATTTTCTAGTTGGGTAAATTTGGGCGTTTCCTAATTGATGATTGTTAGTCTATCTGACCGGCTGTAAAGGGGCAGTCGCAAACTTCCTTCGTGTTTTTCAAGAGGCCTGCCATAATTATCTGGACAAAGATCTGGAAAAGATGAATATAACAACAATAATAATTTTATTTAAAGCCAATTTGCAGACATTCTCAGGGAAGCGTTAAACACAAATCCGGCCAACAGTGAAAAAAAACTCCTGTGGAAAAGGAATAAAAATACAGTTGATTGTGGTTTTTATGGTTTGGAGTGCTCAGGAGAAAAAAACTGCTGGCGGCAAGCTTTCGACCGTCAAGAAGGGAGGAGTTGCATGGTGTCGGATAATATCAATCGCCAACTTCTTTCATGAAGTTGGGGCTAGTCCAAACAGAAGCGCCGAAGAACATATGTCGCTGTTGGCCAAAGAAATTTTCCCTGGTGAGACCGGCCATGGTGTTTTGAGACCACAAATGCAATCGCTACGGTAAAGTCGATCAGTGGATTCAGCACCCAAAATTTGTAGGAGTTTTTATGAATGCAAAGATCGAGTAATAGTTCTCTTAAATAAAGGATAATTTTGCAGAGTTTTCACATTCCTCGGTAGTTTATTCCAAATAGCAATTGCATTTACAAAAAAGAACCAGCGATATTAAATGGTACGTGCCAGAAGTAAAAATAAAAGGACCTCACGATTCCTGTTACGTCCTGGGTGGACACGATGTCTTAAAGAGGTGAGTGAGTTAAAGGTGTGATTATATAAGAGCTTAAATAGCAAAAATAGTTTCTTTTGTTATCTACGAAACCATAAAGGATCAAGGCCTGTAAGCCGGCAACGTTCTTGGTAAGACAAATGTCGGTGTTCCGGGGTTAAAAATCTCTTGGTAAAAAAAGTGTTGAACGGATTCTATTTTCTTCCGCTCAGTAGCACGCATGAGGCTAAATAACAACGATCAGTATTACAGGCCAGGTATAATGCACATGTTGTAAAGGCGCATTCTGATGTAAGTCACAATCAAAGCTGTCAAAAAGTATTAAATCATGTATTTTATTGTTCTTGTGAATGCGAAATTACAGGAGTAGTGGTCGACTGTGTACTATGCTCTAATATAGTTGTATATTTGTTTAATATGGCCTTAATATACACTTACGTACAACTAATATGCGGGGTTTTATCGGAGGAGGTGTTATTATTAGCTCCTTAAGGGATATTTAGTGTCAGGTGACATGGCTGATAAAACAGACAAAGGGAGGGAAGAAAGAATATCACTTCCTGTTCTATGTTTATCAATGATGCTGTCTTTCATAAATTTGCTTGTTTTTAGTGCGATGTTCCGGTATTATTCAAGCGGCTGGCATTATCAGAGCCGTTTCGGACGAAATTCTATGTCAAAGAATTGACTTGAAAAATGTCGTATCTTATTCAAAAATAAATGTGTATTGCTATTTGAAAGAAATTTCTTAGTTTTTACTTTAAACTCAGTTAGGGTTCGACGCATCCGGATAGAACTTGGAAGAGCATTACAGATAGTGGCATATCTCATTGTGTAGAATTTCGACAGTTGGGACTTTGTGGATTTGGGGATCCTTATAATATCTTCGTTATTTCTGGTGATTCTGGAGGTGCTTTGGTTTGTTAGTAAGTTCATTTTGAGAAAAACTTGGTTGTGGGTGACCTAGAGTAGGAAGTTTAGACCATTATAGAGGCTTCCGATCCAGAGGGGTCGAAGATCGTATTTATGATATAGTTCTTAATATGAACCCTGGGTGCCGTCACTTCTGGACAAAAATCTAGTAAAGCGGCTCTAAATCCCTTCTAGTTTCTTTCGTCCATCTGCGGGCATTATGCCGAGGGAAACTGAGCAATAATCTAAGAGAAGTAAAGCGTACATTTAGAAAAATTGTATTCGTAGTGCATTTAAAGTGAAATTTTTACATATGAATCCACACAGGCGAGTGGCTTTCGGTGATATTTGTTGGACGTCGAGAGATAAATCAAGGGTATTTGTATAGCTGAGACCTAAATCTTTTAC